TGAGCCACAGGCCATGCAGGTTACTGGGACCCAGAGACCCAGCGGGCGCCGGCCCCAGCCCCCAGCCCACCCTGCACCCACAGCGCGTGGGTGCTCCCCCAGGACCCAGCATGCCCAGGGATGTGTCCCACCACTTCTCCGGGGTGGGAAATCAGTAACAGCTAAAACACATCTTCTGCTCCATCATGCACCAAAACGCCCAGAAAACTGCACTGGGCAGAGAAAGCTCAGACCTGGGTTATATTCTGAATTGTCACAGCTCACCTGACCGCGCACGGAGGGACACGGGGATGGGGGACGGGACAGTCCCTCCCCTCCCCTGGCACTGACCACAGACACACACACGGTACCTTGTCTTACGAACGTCTGGCTGGTGTCCAGCAGAATTTCACACCCTTCAATAATCATCCTCTCTATCGCCAGATTCTTGCGAATATTTTCGGTCTCACTCACTTCATCGTGCATTATCCTGAAGGAGGGAGGAGAGAACACTGGAGCTCCCATGAGATCTGCACGAGCTTTCCCAGCAGATCCCTTTGGACACCGGGAGGGGCTGCACGAGGTATGCCCAAAACCAAAGGAATATCAAGGGAATTAGAGGAGTATCTGCATCTGCACAGACCCGGGGCTCAGGGGGTGACCTACACCCCAGCCTGGACTGTACCTCCATACTTCAGAATATTGAGATGTCAGTGCCCACCGCCCGCCAGCCCGAACCGCCCGGGCACGAGAGACCCCCGGTCCCACAGCCCCAGCTGCCAGGACGGGCAGGGACGGGCAGAGGTGGGTCTGACCTGGACAGCTCTTCCAGCTTGGACTTGGCGTAATCCAGGCTGTTCCTCTCCACATGCTCGTGGGGGGGGTGAGCCAGCAGCTCGTGCAGCGTCAGGATGTACCTAGGGATCTGCGGCACGACAGAGTGGAGCAGGGCATCAGCCGGGGCACGGGCCGAGGGCAGGTGGGATGGAGGGGGCACGGAGGGCTCTGGGCACCCACCCTGCACTGCTCCCAGAGCCACCATCAGCTGGGGACACCATGGCCAGGGACACCATGGATGGGGACATATTGGCTTGGGACACCATGGGTAAGGACACCGTGGGTGAGGACACCATGCCTCAGACCCTCCGATCTGGGAGGTTACACAAGCTTCAAAGCTCTTTGTTCACACTTAATGAAGAAGGGGACCGGTGTGGGGTATTGCCCAGGACCCTGCTGTGCCTCATCCGTGTCCCAGAAGCACAGGGTGACTGGGAAGCTGGCAGTGTCACCCAGAGAGTCCCACAGCACCAACCAGCCCATCAATGGCCTGAGAAGGTCCCAGGAGCAGCGTGGGACCACACAGGGTCCAGCCCCAGGCCACCTTCACCTGGGCTTTGCCTCCCCACCACCCAATGCCAGTGCTGTGGTGGCATCCTCAGGGCCAATCCCAGTGCCAGTGGTCACCTGGAACATGGGGTAGGTCAGGAAGGTCTCCAGGGTCCTCTCCTCGCAGTCAGGCTTGGCCTCGTAGTGCTTGAGCAGCTTGTCGAAGTCCCGGTTCTGCTTGCAGTGTGCCAGGATCTGCAGGCTGTACTGGTGGTTCCTCACAAACTCCTGGTAGATGTTCAGCATGGGCAGCAGGATGTCGAACAGGTCGGCTGTGAGCAGAGAGGTGATGGGGAGGTGGGTTCCTGGTCCAGCCCGTGTCCCAGGGTCCCAGCCCTGATCCTGGCACAGCACCACAGCTCCTGACCCTCCTCACCCCGGGTCCCACCCAGGGCACCGCCCGTGGCCTCGGGCTGCTTGTGCAAGCCCCAGGTCTCCCAGTTTGGGTTTGAAAGACCCTTTCAGAGCCAGCTGAGGGTCTGATCAGACACAGCGACGCTCCTCAGCACCAGCTGTCCTGCGCACAGCCCAGCCCACCCCTTCCACCACCCGGAACACAGGAACTGGGGTTTTCTGGGGTATTTTGCTCCGGTCTCGCCTCCGTGACTGACACGAAGACGCAAGGCCACGTTGTGCAACACATTGCACCGCTGCCGCCGGTCAGCAAAGTGCCTCTTGCACTGGCAGGAGGAGGAGGAGGAGGAGGAGGAGTGTGGGCTCAGCTCTGCCCATGAGCAGGAAGGAAACACAGGGAGGAGGCAAGAGGCACTCACCCAACACGAGCGTTGGCCAACTGGAGATCCTGGCCTTCAGGCCTTGGTAAAAGATTTGGTGCAAAAACATGATTGTTTCGCTGAAAGATAAACCAAGGGGTGGAAAGAGAGATGGACCAGTGGCAAATAATGAGCAATTAGATGTGATCACCAGCTCGGAGGTGGAGTTGGGGAGCCCTGGACTGGGTGGGGAGGTGGGTGCACAAGGTGGGTGCAGAGAGGGTCCCCAGAGACACACAGGGAACGGTGGATGAGGAGGAGTAGGATGGAGCAGCCTGAAGCTCCCCTCAGGAGTCATCCCCGAAATGCAGGGGAGCCAACACCTCCAGCTCTCCCATGAGAGCTCCATCCTTCCCACTTCACCCACGCATCGCTACCTACAGGCAGCTATTAACGCTGAAGGACACTGCCCTCCACACCACCAGAGCCAGGACCTCATACCAACAGGATCCTGGCAGCCCCGATCTGCCACCAAGGCCCTGGAGCACCAGCCCCATGGCACCTCCTCCTGCCACTGCCCAGCGCTCAGCAGGTCACTTGTGCAGGCGTCCCATGGGGATGGTGAGCTTCCATGTGCAGATGTCCCTTGGGGACAGTGACCTTCCATGTGCAGGTGTCCCATGAGGACGGTGACCTTCCATCCATGGCTTTGGGGGCCAGGCTGCAGGCTCCTGGAGAACCCCCGGCACTGAACACCCCAACACCCATTCCCGGGGCAGGGTTGTGGGCTGTGGACACCAGCATCTGCCCAGAGGCTGCCAGCTCCTCCGGGGACCCACAGAGCTCTTGGAGCCCATGATGGCACTCACCTGTTGAGGAATATGCTGCTGACATCATCGTGTGTGATGGGAGGCTTCTTGG